ATTAATACAGGCATATGCCACCACACCTGGCTCAAACTTTACCAATTTTAAGTGTGCAATATAAGCAGGTTTGTTTAAACATCAGGTTGATTTACTTAAAATTTACAAATGATAAAATTCACCTTTGAGGGCTGAGGATATAGCCCAGCGGTAAGCACTTGCCTAGTGGCTTATGCGAGACCCTACGTGCTGCAATCCCCAGGATCACCAAAAAAAATTGTTAGGTATGTGTGCAGGAGTTTCTGGGGATCTATCTTATTTTGAGAAGTGTCAACTTTCTTTTTTTCTTTTCTTTCTTTTTTTTTTTTATTTAAGGAGAAAAAGAAAAAAAAAGTGTCAAATTTCCTGAACTATAATTTATATATAGTAAAATCATCCTATTTAGTGCATGCTTCTGTTTTGATGGGTATTGTCATGTAACCACTATCATAATTTAGATCCATCCCATAAAGTTTCTTCTTGTGCTTTTTTTTTCTTTTTTTCTTTCCCCAAATTCATTTTATTTCAAAGAGAAAGAAGAAGAACAAGGGAAAAAAAAAAAACTGCAAAATCTCAAAGCACATCAGTTGGGGCAACAACGGTACGTACATTGTGCATTGTTGCCCCCAAATCTTCTTGTGCTTTTGTAATAAATGTCCTCTCTTCATCTTCAATCCTGGCAGACATTGATCTGACCTCTATATTTCTAGATTTGTCTTTCTAGAATGTTAAACAGAATTGGAACCATAACATGTATCTTTTTGTGTTTGATTTCTTTTCATTTAGCATGGTACTTTTGAAACACCCATGTTGTGTATAGCACATATCAGTAATTTGTAATTTTATTGCTGAGTCTTACTTCCTAGTTAAGAATATACTTTACCATTGTTTATTCACCAGGTAATAGACCCTTGGATTATTTCCAGTTTTGGCTCTTATGAATAACTGTCTCTGAACATTCACATTCATTGTACTTAGATAAGTAGGAATGGGATTGCTAGATTTTATATATATATATATATATATATATATATATATCTTAATTTTGTTTGTATTTTTGGTGGTACCACTGGGAAAAAAACCAGTCATCATCATTTATAATGATGTGTCTGGACTGTTCCTTGTGTTTTAAGATGGGATCCTAAATTCTTGAACTGAGATCTTTGCTTCCTCAGTCATCTGAGTAGCTGGACCTACAAATTTGCACTGCCATACCAGGTAATGGCGTCTGGATTTTTTTTTTTTTTTTTTTTTTTGTCTTTTTCCTTTTTATCGGTACCAGGGATCGAACTCACGACTGCCTGCTTGCAAGGCAGGCACTTATGCCGCTGAGCTAAATCCCCAGCCCCGGCATCTGGATTTTTAAAAAAATGTTTCCTGAATGTGTAGTGGTACTGTCACATTTCTTCTGCTTTTTTACTTTTTTTCCTGCTGGCATAGCTATTATATACATTTGGACTCAGTGGTGTACATTTCATTGGGCTGTTTATTTTTTCATTCTCTCTTTGGATTTCATAGTCTTACATTGATCTACAAGATTTTTTTTTGCTGGTACCAGGGATCGAACTCACAACCACGCGCTTGCAAGGCAGGTGCTTATGCCACTGAGCTAAACCCCCAATCCCTGATCTACAAGTTTGTTAATTACCTTTTCTATAGTTCAAATGTTTCCTGATCTCTTCTGATGCATTTTTTGTTTTAATTGTACTTTTCAACTGGAGGATTTCTGTTGGTTCTTTGCGTGTGTGTGTTTGAGATTTCTTTTTTTATTTTAAAGAGAAAACTCCAGAATTTCAAAACAAGATAATTAGAGGGTAACAATGGTTAATACATAGTGAATTCTTATCTTCAGTTAGCATATAAGATACCTGCATTTAATTATCCAAACAATATTAGCACAAATCTTGCTTTTCAGTGAATTAAGAGAAATTAGGAGTACATCTTAACTATCTTTTATATGTGTATGTACATGTATATTATTTCTTTCACCTCACACTAGGGAAATAATATGTTTACACATGTGAGTCTGATTTATCTCACTTAGGAGTATAGTCTCTAGTTGCATTCATTTATCTATAAAAGACTCGAGTTTATCCATCTTTATGGTTGAGTAGTACTCCATTGTCTAAAAATACCACATCTTTTTTATTCATTCCTTGGTTGATGAGCCTTTGTGTTGTTTCCAGGATTTAAATACAGTGATTCACTAAGTTGCCCAGGCCGTGCTTGAATTTGAGATCCTCCTACCTCAGTCTCTTAGAGTGCTGGGATTATAGGCAAGCGCCATCATATAATACCCAGCAATGTTATACTTTGTAGAAGAGCTTTTTTGAGGGAGGAAACATAAGTTTAAAGACACTTAGTGGCATTTATTTCTTCAAGGTTTGTAATTGGTTTTGTAGCTCAACAGCTGCTAGAATAGGATTCCCCTAAGGAAGATTTGTAAGCCTTTTGGTGCAGACTCCTAAGTAATATACAAAAAGAAAGGAAAGAAAGAAGGGGAAAACAGAAAGAAAAGGAAGGAAACCAGCTTGGTATGGTGGCACATGCCTGTTACCCCATGATTCTAGTAGGCTGGGGCAGGAAGATTAAAAGTTTGAGCCCAGCCAGGGTAAGTTAGTTGAGACTGTCAGAATAAAAAAATGGGACTGGGATGTAGCTCAGTATGAAGATCCTGGGTTCAATTCCCAGTGCTGGGAAAAAGAAAAACTGTAACTCAAGAACGGAAATTCTTCTGGCTTAGTTGTGAATTTGCTGGGTGCAGGCAGCTTATTCCTTGTGATGCAGTTTCAGAGGCACCACAGCCCTGAAAAGAAAATCAGGTAAATCTGGTTTCTGTACAGATCCAATGCTTATGAAATGGATGGTTTTGGTAAAGAAAATTAACTATTGAGGCTCAATTTCCTCAAATGCAAAGCAAAAGTGTTTAGATATAAAGGTTTGTTATAAGGTCTGATTCACAATAAGTTCTGGAAGTGACAAATTGTTAGTTATATCCTTTAGGCTTAATTTTTGTTCTTGTGTTCTGTATATGAAATAAAGAGTTACAGAATCAGAATGTTAGAAGTGAATCTTGGGCCAGGAATATAGCTCAGTGCCTGCACTGCGCCTGCTTCGTCAGCACGAGACGTGTGAAGTTTGAAGAAGGAGAAGGAGAAGAAAAGAAATGAACCTTATAGGTCATTTGATCTAAGCCATTATTTTCTAGATGATAGGTGAGGAAGGTGATAGTGATGGAAATTAGTACTAGCCTCAGAGCTAAGACCAGTGTTACTTACGTGGGAATAATTAAAAGTCAAAGTGCTAGACTTTTGGGTCTAAACTGTTGCTTTTCTTAAATGTTTTAAATTTTGACTTGAGTGTTCTGATTACTTCATTAAATGGGAGTCTATTTCTGGTGTTCCCAAGTAACTAATTTGTTGGGGGGTTTTTGTTTTTGTTGACAGTCTCACTATGTATTCCAGACTGGTCTTGAACTCACTATTTAGCTCAGGCTGGCGGTTTAAACTCACAGCAATCCTTCTGCCTCTGCTTCCCAAGGGCTGGGATTACAAGTGTGTGCCTTCACACCTGGCCAGTGTTCAGAGTTTTTTGAAACAGGATCTTACCATGTAATTCAGGTTGACCTTGAACTCATTATGTAGCCTAGGCTAACCTCTAACTTTCAGGGATCCTGCCTCAGCTTCCTGAGTGCTGGAATTATAGGCATGGGCCACCATGCCCGGCAAAGTGACTAATGTCTGTAAGATACATAACATTCACTTTCTTAATGTTACTATTATTACTTAAGTCATTTGCAATAGAATAAACCTTAGGTGGTATAGTCAGGTATCATTTTCTACTGGTTCCACATTTGTAGATTCATTTAACCTTGAGTCAGAAATATTTGGGAGAAGATGTGCATCTACATTAAATATGCCTAGAATTTTTTTCTTGTTGGTCTTCTAAGCAATACAGTATAACAACTGCATACATATTTACATTGTATTAGGTATTTTAAGTAGTCTAGAGGTGCATAGGTTATATGCAAATACAATACTATTTTATTCAAAGAACTTGAGCATTCTTGGATTTTGGTATATGTAGGGATCCTAAGGGACAGTATTGCTTTATTATTAAATTCACTTGAAAATGGAGTCCACTTTATTGGGACTTACATGACAGCCAGTTTTTGTGTACCGCATCTCTTCTAAGGAAAGGAGTTGGCAAGGAAAGGTACTTGTTACTCAGAGCCTGTTATTTAGAAGTGAAAGTACTTTGAATGATTTGACTTATCTTCAGTTGTTTTTCTGCAGTTGTAGACATTCGCTGTTTATTGGAGACTTTGAAAAAATATAGATGACTTCCTGTTAGTGAAATACATGGACTGAATCAGGAATGAACTCTATACTTGCTCTTATGTTTGTAAGTGACTGGTTACTTTTGGTTTCATGTTAATTTTTTCTTTTAGTAGGCGGTTTTTATTTTCATTTAATTATTGTTTCTATTTTGGTGGTACTGGGGATTGAACCTAGGGATGCTGACCCATATCTAAAGCTTGCTTGATTGATTGAGTGATTGATTAATTGAAGCAGTCTTGTTAAATTGCTCAGGTTGTCGCCAAACTTGCAATCTTGCCTCAGTAGCAAGTGGGTGGGGTCACAAGCATGCACCACTAGGTCCAGTTCATAATACGTTGATTTTGACCAAGTACACATTCTTCCTGCTCTTCCACAACCTCTCTCTATTCTGGTTCTTTGGCTTGTCAGCCACAGATAGAGCTACATAGAGGTAACTTTTAGAGTCCATAGTAGTAGGTAAGCCCTTCCACAGATTTGTTTAATACCTTTGAATACTTGAATTATACTGTAAGAGATTTTAAATTGTAGGATATTTGGAGGCAGGAAGATCGCCATGAGTTTGAGGCCTGTGTGGGCCAGCCTGAACTACATAGTGAGACCCTATCTCAAAAATAAATTTTTTAAATGATTAATTTATTTGGCCCATTGCATTTAATAACAGTAATATTTAATTTTTTTCAGAGGTCGAAATAGTAGCAAAGGACTGCCTCAGTCTACGGTGAGTAACTTCATTGTTACCTATTTCAAAAAATTGTTAGCTAAAACATGAATGCCAAGCCAAAAAATTCCCTTGAATGTTATTGGAGGTAGATTTTATATAGAATAGTAATGAAGTATAAAATTATTAGCTATACATGTTTTTTGGTGGTGACTATAAAATGTAAAATTGCCTGCAAATAGTATTTTTGTTACATGTAATAAATTGCTTATTATTTACTCACGTAATTTTTAAAGGCATATTTTTTTTTTTTTTTTTAATCGGTACTGGGGATCGAACTCACGACCACCTGCTTGCAAGGCAGATGCTCATGAAGCTGAGCTAAATTCCCAGCCCCTAAAGGCAAATCTAAATGAGTAAACTTAAAAAGAGAAATAGGACTTGAGTTTGCAAAATTCTTTTTGGTCTTTTTGTGTTGAATTAATGTACTATCTTTTAAAATTCCTTTTGGTTTTCTCCATTAGAAAAGGCTTTCTGGTCTTAGGTTTTGGAACTTTATTAATAAAAGTAAAATGGACATGCAGAGCACAAGGTAGACATAAATTCCATGATAAACTGAAAAGTTATGACCAGTGTTTTAGTTTCTACCTTTATTGGACTGACTTCAGGAGAATGTATACTTAGTACATATATATGTGTTATGAACTGGCGTGTTAATTAAATTTCTTTTTTTTTTCTTTTGAGATAGGTAGGGTCTCATGATGCAGTGCAGTTCAGGCTGGCTTTGGGTTCATTATGTAGTGCAGGCTGACCTGGAACTTTTGCAGTTTTCCTGCCTCAGCCTCCTCTGAGTGCTGGGATTACAGGTGTGCAACACAAAACACATTTCATTGGGCACACATCTGATTCAGATATGCTTAATGAAGCCAGTTAGGGTTCTTGAACACAGGTGTATTCTTACTTCCCACCTCCATTATTTATTAAGATGTATTTCATATGTTTTAAGGTACAGGTCTGTGAGAGTTTTTGCGGGAGGCATTTGTAACTATCCCATAATCAAGACAGTAGAACAGTATCATGCACCTAAATCCCTCATGTCACTTTGGAGTGAACTCTCATTCCCTAACCATTGGTTTGTCATATGTCCCAATAGTTTTGTCTTTCCTCATATATAAAGTTTAGTTTTTCTTACTGTTTTAATTATAGTCACATTCTTAGTTGGTGTGAAGGAAACAAAAGATTATACTACATCAAATCTTTCAAACATGTTAGGTATTATAAACCTGACTTAAACATAAGTAAAAATAAGTTAACTTTTTATGTGTATGCAAGTATTAGTTTGTAATAGTGTATTTTATTTTAACATTCCAGATTTCTTTTGATGGAATCTATGCAAATATGAGGATGGTTCATATACTTACATCAGTTGTTGTAAGTTACCAGGTTATTGGGAATAAATTGCCTTGAGAATGAATAAAATAATTTCCTAAAGTTAAAATGTTAATGAATGATTCTCAAAACATTTGTTGTCATATTTAATCAAGATAATTTATTTTTAATCAAGATAATTAGAAAAATATAATTGTCAGATGTATTATGACTCACTGTTAACTTGTTAACCCTACAGTGTATAAAATAGTGTTTATAGTCAATTGTATTTTGTATATTATTTTCATCTAAAGTAGATGGAGTCAAAAGGTTTTGTTTTTTGTTTACAGTGCTAGGAATCTAATTATTTTAACTTAAATGTTTAAGTTAATACTATACACTCTTGAGTAGAGCCTCCTGAAGAATTTTGAGAATCGAACATTTTGTTTTGAAATTTATGTCATTCTGTTGGCAGACACCTAATATGGGATAAAACCTGATGAACTATAAATCTAAAATGAAAATATTTATTTATATCTGAAAATGGGTATTGCTTCTTAAAAAATTAATTGTATGTTTTTAGGGATCCAAATGTGAAGTTCAAGTGAAAAACGGAGGTATATATGAAGGAGTTTTTAAAACATATAGTCCTAAGGTAATTTTTATCATTTTGTATTTTATTAAGATAAACCGGTTACTATATACCTTTTCTCAAGTGGTGTCTGTTATTTATGATTTAGCAATTTATAGTTATGAACTGAATATATTTGTCATTGTTAAACTCATGTGATAGTTTTTCTTGTAAGCTAAAAGAACATTTTGAGCCAGGTGTGGTGGTGTTTTCTTGTAATGTCAGTATTTGGAAGATTAAAGCCAGAATGATTGTGAGTTCAAGGTTAGTCATTTTGAGACTGGGTCTCACTGGGTAATTGAGGCTGGTTTTGGACTTATTGTTCATCCAAACTGAGCTTGAACTTGCAGTGATCCTCTCGGTTAAACTGGGGTGGTGAGTTACCGGCCTGTGCCACCATGCCTGGGCTTTATAATTTCCCTTTTTTTTTGTACTGGGAATTGAACTCATAACTTGATGCTTGCCAGGCAGGTGCTGTGCCACTGAGATATATCCTCAATCTTTTAGTTTTTATTTATTTATTTTTTGAGTTAGTTTTTGCTTACAATTTTTTTTTTTGTTTTTTTGGTCTTTTTCATTTTTATCGGTACCGGGGATCAAACTCACGACTGCCTGCTTGCAAGGCAGGTGCTTATGCCGCTGAGCTAAACCCCCAGTCCCTTTTGAGTTAGTTTTTAAAGCCAGTTTTATTTTGCTCTTCTGTTTCAAATACTGATTGTTTTAATGGCTCCTTTGGTAACTGAAGAGATTTCTTGGTTTATGTGCTTATTATAATGTTTTCACTGCTTTCAAATATTGCGATAGGATAGTTAATTTTGCCTCTTTTTTATAATTATTGTGCTTAAGATGGACTATAGAGACAAAGACCAACTTTAGATTGGGTTTTGAATGAAAGAACAGATAATAGATCACTTTTCTGTAAAAAAACATGATATTCTCACGATAAATTATCTTTGCCAAAGACATATAAGAAATACCATTTTGATGAAATAAAGGATTTTAGATTTTATTTTATAAATGATTTTAATATTTACGTTTATTTTTTATTTTAGTGCGATTTGGTGCTTGATGCTGCACATGAGAAAAGTTCAGAATCTGGTTCAGGCCCAAAACGTGAAGAAATAATGGAGAGCATTTTGTTCAAATGTTCAGACTTTGTTGTGGTGCAGTTTAAAGATATGGACTCCAGTTATGCAAGAAGAGGTGGGCTTTTATCTGTGAAGTATGTCTTGTAGTTTAATACATTTATTCAAGCAGTGATTCTCTACAGTGATCATGTACACTTAAAAAAAAAAGTATGTGCCTTCTAGAATAACATGATTAAGGCAGATTTTATTTGAGAAAAACGGAGATTAGGGGACAGTAATTTAAAACTTCAGCAAAATATTACTTAGTATTTGTAGCATCTTGTGTAGTGTTCTGTTCACAATAGTTTATAAAGGATTTTCTACAATTCAGTGGTCAAGAAATACTATATGCTATATCCCAAGAAATACTAACGATTATACTCAATTGAAAATTCTTGGGGCTGGGGATTTAGCTCAGCAGCATAAGCGCCTGCCTTGCAAGCAGGCAGTCGTGAGTTCGATCCCTGGTACCGATAAAAACCAAAAAGACCAAAAAAAAAAAAAAAGAAAGAAAGAAAATTCTTGTCCCATTTGATCTATGAAGCTTAAGTTTTTAGTGAGCCCATAGTGTAAGTCTGAGAAGAAATTGAAGCCTAGGGCTAAGGGAGAAAGGGAGAGAGCTGTAGATAGAAAGCAGTTGTTTATTTAACAAGGTGAAAAGAAGACAAATAAAACATAAGCTGAGCATGGTGGTACACACCAATAATTTTAGTACTGCAGAGGCTTAGGCAGGTGGATTGCCACAAATTCAAGGCCAGCTTGGCTACATAGTGAGTTAAAGGCTGACATGAGCTGCATAGTGAGACCCTGTCTCTAAAAAACGGAAAAACCAAACAAACATAAAACACGACACTTTGATGATACTCAGCTGCCTTATTAATGAACATACGATTTAAGCCAGGTGTGATGGCACACATGTATAATCTAAGCACTGGGGAGGTTGAGGCGGTAGGATCACAACAAGTTCAATGTCAGCCTTTACTAGATAGCAAGACCCTGTCTCATTAAAAAATAAACATTCAGAGTGTGGTACTCTATGTGGAAAATTTAAAAGCGGTTATATAGTTATTCTAAAGTTTAGTCGGTTTCAAATTTTGTTTGAGAAAGAACCTGTGGGAATTGTACAGCACCCAGCAACATAGCAAAAGGGACTTTTGAGCAAATTTGAATTTGGTTCTAAAATTCATTAATTTATGCATGCCAAATTCCCTAATTAGCTGTGTAAGGTTGTTGCAGATTGTGATTCATTAGAAATTGATTTTGTCAGGTGTGGTGGTACACACCTGAAATCCCAGCACTCGGGAGACTGAGGCAGGAGGACTGCCCGTGAGTCCAAGGCCAGCCAAGGCTACGTAGTGAGTTCAAAGCTAACCTGAACTACTTCGTGAGCCCCTGTCTCAAACAGAACAAAATAGAATACCCAAAAAGAATTTGACTTCCAAGACTCAGTTTATGGAAATGTTTTTGTCATTGGGCTGATTCTTTGACTTGAAACTGAGCTGTAAGAAGTTAGAGCTTTCACTTGTGGACAAGGCTTGCTGCTTCTGAGGATCAGAGGTGTTTTGTGCCTGCTGGGAGATACTGATAAAGCAGAGGTTCTACCATATACAAGGAAACAGTTCTTTCATTACTCTGTTTGGTTTTCTTTGTTTGGTACCAGGAATTGAACTCATGACCTTGCATTATACATCCCAAGATTCCCTTTGGAATTGGTCTTGTTTGTGCCTGGAAACACAAATTATTTACATTTATATTTATGCTTTTGAAATATTTCATGGTTTTCAATTTAAAAATTACAAAAGGAACATAAGGTATCAGTTCAGTGTAATACATAACACTCTGACAATAATACTGATTATAACAAAAACAATATTCCCTATTTGTGTTGGGTATCAGGCTATTTATCTAACAGCCACTTGGAATATGCTTTGACTGCTTTTTGGTTTTTGTTTTTGTTTGAGAGCTGGGGATTGAACTGCAGTAGACACCCTGTCTATTACTGAGCTATATTCCCTGCTTTTCTTTTGGTTGGGGAGAGATAAGGTTTCGCTGTGTTGTTCAATCTGGACTTAAACTAACAGCAGTCCTCCTTATGCAGGTTCCCAAGTGCTGGGACTACAGCCATATTCCACCTTGCCTGTCTTAAAATTGGTTTTGTTTTGCTTATTTTGTTAATGTCTTCATGTTTCAGATAATTTGGATTCACTATAGAAAGCCAAGAAAATACAAAGCAGAATGATAGCTTTAAAATGTTCAGTGTACTCGTAAGGAGATATGTTGTACTTTTCTGTCCTCCTTTTGTTATTTTTTTCTTTTCCTTTACTTCCTTTCCCCTCACCTCCCAATTCCCCTTCAGATTTGAAGATTTTCTTCCTCTTTCACCATGTCTGTTATACACTTTGGTTCTTATTTACACTTGTTTTGCCTGACACCAGAGGACAGTGCAGTATTTACACATCTGTCTCTAATTTATTTCACTTGGTGTATGGTCTCAAGTGCATTCATTTTGGTAGAAATGTCTCAAGCCTTGTCCTTTATGGCAGAGGTAGTACTCCATTGTAGAAACCATGCCCTGCCTCCTCCTTTGAAACAAGATTTTACTGTGCAGTTCAAGATGGCCTTGAACTTACAATGTAGACCAGCTTGACCTTGACCTCTCACTGATCCTTCAGCCTCAGCATCCCAAGTGCTGAAATTGAAGACATGGGCCACCATATCTAGCACATCTTCTTTATCCATTCATCAGTTGATAGGTATTCAGGTTGTTTCCAAGACCTAGCTATTACAAACTGTGCCGCTGTAAACATGGGTGTGCATGTATTGATGTGGTGTTATGCTTTTAATTCTTTTGGGAAGATACCAAGAAGGGAAATAGGTGAGTCAAATTGAACCACTAATCCCATTTTTTGAAAACTCTCCACACTGATATCCACAGCAGAGTCACCAGTGTACACTCCCGCCAATAGCAGAGAAGTGTTCTTTTTTCTCCAAAGCCCCTCCATCATTTGTTATTGGTAAATTTGTTGATAATTACCATTCTCTAGAGATAGATGGAATCTTTAACAGAAAATAATGTTTCACAGTATATTTTTGTTTGCAATATCTGTGAAATCTTATAAGCCATTGCCCAGTTACAATGTAATTATGATAGGAAAAACAAACCATAAAACCTAGGTTTTATCAGCACTTTTGTTTAAAAGCTACTGCTTCCACAGTCACCACAAACCAATACATTACCTCCAGCTCTTGCTGGCTCTTACTCTGTATTATAATTGCTCCAGTTGTATTTGCTTTCTGTGTGTGTTGTAACGTGTGTGGAGAGGTGATTTGGTAGAGGATGTACATTAGAAACAGGAGGTCAGTCATTGTCAGTGAGACAGCCCATGTATGTCCTGCTTGAGCCAGGATTAACTGTAACCGTTCTGTTCAGAACTGACCACTTTGCAAATTGGGGACCATGTACAAGCCGTTTCCTGCACATAGCACTATCTCAGCAGGTACAGTACCTTGCAGCTGGATTTGTAGAAACTCTTACACTGATGATATCCGTTGTCTTCCTTTGCCCTTCACCAGCCTTGGGGTGGCAGTGAGACTATGTATTTCTTTCTTTCTTTTTTTTTTTTTTTTTTTTTTTTTTTTTTTTTTGTGGTGCCAGGGATTGAACTCACGACCTTGTACTTGCCAGGCAGGTACTTATGCTGCTGAGCTAAATCTCTGGCCCTAGAGGCTATGTATTTCTTTATACTGACATTTTGTTTTTCTTTATTAAAACATCTAGGAGATACATTTAAATAATTAGGTCAAGTGAAGACACAAAGCAGCTTTTTTTTTTTTTTTTTTTTTTTTTTTTTTTTTTTTTTTTTTTTTCTTTTTCATTTTTATCGGTACTGGGGATACAAACCCAGCTTTTAACTTCAACTTTTTTTTTTTGGTCTTTTTCCTTTTTACCGGTACCAGGGATCAAACTCACAAATGCCTGCTTGCAAGGCAGGCGTTTATGCCGCAGAGCTAAATCCCCAGCGCCTTAACTCCCAACTTTTACCCTTCACTATAGTAATGGAAATTATATGGTGTGATAAGTTGTTTTGCTGAGCTATTTTCTAATTAATCTACATCAGCATTACAGTACAGGGTTTCTCCTTAAAACCAAAAGTTTAAAAAGAAAATGTCAAACAATATAAGATACAAAATTACTATAGCATTCAAAACCCTCCTGTTTTTGTTTTTTACTTTAAAGAGAAAATAAAATTTTAAAATAAGATAATAAGAGGGTAACAATGGTTACTACATTGCATATTATCTTTAAATTAATTACTCAGAACACAGGACATTGGCATTTAATTGTCCAAATAATATTAACACAAACCTTGCTTTTCAGTGAACTAAGAGAAAAGTAGTATAACTATCTTAACTTGCATATATGTGTGTGTATATAAAATTTCAGCTTCCCACATTAGGAAGACAATATGATGTTTACACATGTGTGTCTGATTTATTTTACTCATGAGTATGGTCCCTAGTTTCATCCATTTACCTATGAAAGCCTCGACTTTATCCTTCTTTATGCCTGAGTAGTACTCCACTGTGTGAAAATACCACATCTTTTTTACCTGTTCTTCAGTGGATGGGCACTTAGGTTATTTCTGTGGTCTAGTTATTATAAGTTGTATTGCTACAAACATGAGTGCACATATATCACTGTGGTAAGATGTTTTTAATTTTCTTTTTTTAAAAAATTTTATTTAAAGAAAGACTAAACAAAACAGAAAATAGGTAGAAATAGTACATACATTCAGAGAAAAAAATAAACAGTAAGAAATAACTAGTTGATATTTACATATTGTCATGTTACAAATAGTTGTTCAAGATACAAAAATGGCACATGTAAAGTGGGAATTCAAACAGTGAGACTACAAACAGTTCTGTTTAACTATCCAACAAAAACTTAGTAACATGATTGTCAATCCTATATACTTAAACATACATGCAGTTATCCATATCTTCATTTATGTTTAGATTAAACAAACTAAAGCAGGTTAAAATCATTCTGAACAAAGAATAATAGTATTGCTAGCT